ATCACACAGCTAGTGCATGGCAAAGCCAGGATTGGAACCCGGGTCTCTCTAGTCCCAAAGTCTGCGTTCTCCTCCCAGCTCTGCACTGTGCTTGGATAGGATGAAGGCATAGAATGACAGAATGGGATAGATCCTCTAGTCCTATGTCCTAGGCTCTCATTTTACAACTGGGGAAACTGGGGCCCAGAGAAGGAAAGGGACTTTGTGGGGTTCAACAGGAGCCAGAACCGTGATAAGAAGCAAGTTTTCTGACACTGAATCCAAACCTCTGACATTATGTCCCTTCTGCCTTCTAAGTCTTTCATTCCTCCAGTACAGGATGGGTTAAAATTCAAGATTCTATGAGGAATTAAGAGCACCAGTTTAAATGAACCTCACAATATAAATGAGTTGCTTAGAGAAGGATTCGAGAGGACTGAGGAGAGGACATCAGCTGCAAAACATTGTGTGTGCGAGGGATCTGAGGAGAGACATCTAGGCAGAGGGGAGGGTGGCAGGAATGCAGACAGGCACGGCTTTGTCTTTGTCAATCCGTCTGGCTTCGGGTTCACTGTGGGTCATGGAGCATGAAATTTTCAGAAGAATTACAGTGATGTGAACTATACCTGCTAGGAGATCACATCGAGATACACAGGAGTGCAGGGCTCATGGACAAAAGGACTGTTAGTTAACAAAGTACGGTAGTAAGGGGTTTACACTGCACACAAACCAAGACCAATCAATTTTGTTGTGTGTGTGTGTGGAAAGACATGGATGGGTTGCACTGGTGAGAAGAGAGGAAGGATGGCTTATGAGACGCGTGTCCAGACAGGAACAAGCAGGAACCTGCCACGAAGGCTTGGGGAGGATGTAGGGATCCCGGGATGTGTATTTGATGGGAGAGAGCAAGCACAGGCCATTGCAGGTGCAGGGCTCGGATGTGGCCCTGGCCATTGGGCGGCAGTGGCGTGGAGCCTTGGTTATGGCTACCACCTTGTGGTCACACCCTTTTGGGCTCTGAGACCCAGAATTTATTGTTTCTCCATGAGCTCCTGGATTTATTGGCTTCCTCGGGCACCCTGCCTTATCAAGCTCCAAGAAGCATTCTGTTCTGTAAAATTTCCTGGTGTCACCTTATTCAAATGTGTGCAATCACTTGAGATAAAGCCTCAGATTTTCTAAATGACTCACGATGGCTGAATGTCCATGTCCCTGTTTGTATTTCCTGGGGCTGTTATCACAGATCACGATGGCAATAAACTTTTACAGCAACTCCACTGTCCATATTGGATCCTTGGGTGAAAATAAGAGCTCTGGCTTTTCTTAAGGTTCGAAGGGCATTACTTTCGCAAATGGAAAGAGAAATTTGAGTAATGGGGCTTCTCCATCTGAAACCTCAGTGCTAGGCAGAATTCACTGAGTGCTCAGGTACACCTTGGGTAGGACCAGAATGGGCAAACAAACACACACACACATAAAATCACAGGATCTCAAAACATCACAATCAGAGACTCAGTTACTCCCAGAGGTTTTCCAACTGGGGTCTGCATTTTTATTTTTCCCCCATGAGCCCCATGGACATTGTTTAGCCAGACTTTCAAAGTAGTGAAAACAAAGCCCCTGGGCTAAATCCAATGCATTATCTGTTTTTGTAAATAAAGTTTTATTGGAACACAGCTAAACCCATTTGTTTATGTTGTCTGTGGTGGCTTTCATGCTTCAATTGCAGAGTTTGATCAAGATGATGAATGCAAAGCCTAACATATTTACTACCTGCCCCTTTACAGAAAAAATTTGCCAATCGCCGGTCTAGAGGACCATGTCTCTGTCTCACTCTCCCTCTCTCTTCTCTCTCTTCCTTTTCCAAGGGCTAACATGAGTTTAGGGAAGGAGCAATCTAGGATGAGCTGTGAAACAAATGGCCTCATAGGATTTATAATAGAGAGGACACTTTCCTCTCTAGTCCCCTATTTTTATAAATGAAAAATTTAATGAAATCCTTCAAACATACAGAAAAGCACAAAGAATAATATAGCAAACACCTTTATATCTACCACTCAAATTTTATAGATCAATTTATTATTTTTTGAAAGAAATAAAGCATTACAGATATAAGTGAAGGCTCACCTGTACCTAAAAGGTGAATGCTGTCTTGAGCTTGGTGTGTATTCTTCTAGTCTGTGCTTTTATATTTTTACTACATATATATGTATATCCTTATATCCATAAAGAATATATTGTGTTTTAAGATTTATGCTCCCCCACCTTTGAAACTGTAAGAAAAATTTAACAATGGCATTAAAAAAAAAAAACTTGGTGTGTGGGGGAAGCCCCCATAATCCTGTAACTCTAATACAAATATTTTCATATTTTGGCTTTGTCCTTATATGTGCATTCTTTTATAGAATTGCAATCAGAATATGCACACCATTTTATTGTCTTTCTCCCCACACTTGGCGTCAAACTGCAAACGTTTGTCCAGCTTCCATTTTTATAATTATTTTAAATATTTTTTCTTTAAAAAGTAAATGAAAAAAATATTATTTTTGTTTAAAAATGACCTTGTTCTATGCAGGAAATATTCCAGAAAGGAGATCCTTTCCTTTCTTTTTCAATGTTGTTTTGGAGATCAAAATGATGCATCATATGAAAGCCCTTGGTAAACGGTAAAAGTCCCTGGATATGAAGGCAAACCCCCCTAGTGAAGCAGGAAAAAGTTTGGGCAGCTTGGGAGAACCAGATATTATGTCGGAGCACCTGGGCTAAAGTGGGTTTGCTGAGCTGGAGTCACCTGCCTGAGCTTAGCTAAGGTGTCCCCAGGCACTCCTGCTGGCGTTTGGAGTTCCAAGGAAAGAATTCATCTCTGAAATCAGGAATGACTCATGGGAAGAAGAATTTGTCCTAGGTTTCTTCAATTCACTAGGGAGGTTTCCTTAGAATTCTTTATCTGTGCTGTTAGAGGGAAAAAGAATATCATAAAAAAATTTCTAAGAGCCCAACACTTCTCAGAAGTCTTTATAGACTTTATTTATAGCATTATCGCGGGAGTTGCATGTACTTGTGACTAATGTCAGTGAGGGAAATATTAATGAGAATATCACAATCTACCATGACGTGTTGTCATAAAGCATTAAAAATTAACTACTCTGGAAAATAAACCAACGCAGGGCATTTTTAAGGCAGTAGCAGCCTTGAAATCTTTTTATAGCTCATTTGTGCCTATTAGCTTATCCACCAAATCAAAAGTGTGCACATTTAGCAGAATTCCGTTGTAATCAACAAATGGGGCCCCTTTAATTTAGGTAAGTTTATGTAATTATCTAGAGGCATGGGAAGAGGGTGACCGGCATTACGAATATTGACTACACTCTAAAATGGCCCAGTGGTCCGAGCCTGTTTTACCTTTAGCGGGATGAATGTATAGCAGAGGCTCTTTCCTCTTGGGCTGCTGCAAAGGGGAGGATGGGACCAGTCCAGGGCCTGGGAAGGGGAGGCTTTCCTTGCTGTAGGACTTTCCTGCCTCCAGCCACTGAGAATCACAAGCCCCTGGAGTCAGGACTTCCTGTTTAAAGATAAGGACACTGAGAAGTGGAGAGGTGAAATGTTTTGTCCAAGGCACTCAGGCCTAGAGTGACGATAGTGGCACTCAAACCCAGGTCCTTTGACCATAGCCCCAGGGGGAGCAGGGATGTCTCTTTCTAAGCCACCATCTCTCTTTTCACCTCCTGGCCCTTAGGTCCCCCTAGGATGGGAGAATCTGCAGGGGAGGTCTGGGAGAACCCAAGCTAAGGCCCTGGGTCCTCAGAAGGCCCATCCTGGGGGAGAGGGGCTGACTCACTCACCAGGGCTCGTGTATTGGCACATAAGCATGGAGTTGGTATTAGACAAGCTCTCTGATAACGGAGGGAGAGAATAGGAGGTTCCGTTGGGAGGGGCAGGGGGGTGTAGTGGGGGACCTTAGCCACTGGAGAGCCCCCGAGGAGCTGCAATGGGGTGGGGAGGGGGAGATGAGATTACAAAGGAGATGCAAGAGATCCTAGGCCAACCCTGTTGGCCCATTCCCCAGGACTCTTTGCATGCCGTGAACTGTATTAGGTTTTGTGCAATGAAACAGCTTGTGTATTCCATCTAGGGGAAGTCTAGCTTGCTTCTTCTGCACCTGGAGATTTGAAAACAAAAGACTCACCATGATCATCCCTTAATACTACCCTTTCTGGTAGTATTATTATTTAATATTTTGGAGATGACATGGAAGTTTATTTTGAGTGACCCCCAGCGCCTTCTGCTGGTTTATATTAGCAACTGCACCATCCATCCATCCAGGTAGAAAGTACATTATGGGATGATGGCTCAATGAGACAGGGAGGAGAAGAAAGGGAGAAAGAGGGGTGGTGGTAAAACTGTGTCAAGAACATAACTGGTGAATTCAGGAGCAAAGAGGGAACAATTCTCCTGAAAATTACATGAGATACTCTGGTACCAAGCCTGCCATGTAAGAGGTGCTTGTTGATGTTCTGGTTGTGTTTGAGTCAAGACGGACTCCATCCGGGCCAGGAGATAAAATTATGATCTTGCTGAAGTTTCTCTTCACTCCAGGGTGGAGGCGGGGTTTGCCACTCACGGAGTCTCCAGCACTCAGACTTGCTTTCGGGAGTAGATCTGGTAAACCTGTGTACAATAGGTGTAAGTGATGGATAATAGCTTATAGCACCAGTCTGCGGGTGGATTGGGAGGAACCTCAAGGTGTTAATAGTTGTTCATTGGCAAAAAGAGTTCTGTGGTCCATTCACAGTACATGGTGTGTATTAAAGGCTCAGAAAAGTTGCATTGCAAAGAAACTGCCTTAACTTTGCTCAATCCAGCATTTCATAGACCTTTTGGACCATGGAATTCTTGTTATTATGGAATATCTACTATCATCTTCAATAAAGCTTGCTGAGAAACTCAGAGATAGAGAGACCATGGACCCTGTGGCCAGCTGGCCTCTCTCACTCCTAACTCTGCCTCTCTTCTCTTTCCAGGCAGACATCTTCTCCGGGGCCATATTCATCAATATGGCCTTGGGCCTGAATCTATATCTGGCCATCATTCTCTTATTAGTGATCACTGGCCTTTATACGATCACAGGTGAGTTCCTTCCTATGAGCCAGCAGCTCAAGCTCAGCTCAGGGTCAGGTGCTTGGAGGAGAAAAGGGAGTAGGAGGCTCTGGAAGAGGAGAGATACATCCAGAGAATGGCAAATTTGCTTGGTCCCCACTCACAGGCCCTACAAGTTATGCAAGTGCTCTCAGAAAGCTCCAGCAGTGGCTGGAGCAGTCAGGACAACTTCTTACAGGAGCTCAGCAGAGCTTGGCCTTGCAGGTTGTGGAGATGACTTAGCTAAGTTGGGAGGATCAGGGGAGAGCCAGGTGCAGGAATAAGTGAGAGCAGGGGAATGGAGGCAGGTTAGACGCTGCATGGGGCGGAGGCAGTGTGCTCGGGTGGGGATGGGCCATGGGGCTTGATGGTTCAAATGAGGTCAAGTACATGGGCCACAAAGAGGCGTTGGATTTGACGTGTCAGGGACTGGGAGCCACTGTAGGGAGGAAGAGAGGAAGTGACACATAAGAAAAGGTTTTAGAGGAAGACTCAAAAGGCAACCAAAGAAGCTGGTGTGTAAGTAACAATTGGGGGCTCCTTTGCAGAGGTGTTACTCTGCCTGGCTGTGGGTAGGGGGCAGGATCAGCTACTCAATGGGAGCCACATAGCTTTGGGGACAAGAAATTACTTAGATGGTCTGAGAAAAGAGAGAGTGGACATAGAAGTAGCCCTTTGGGATGTGCCAATTTGGTAATGTCCCCAGACATCTCTATGGTCAGCTCTTTGCGCTTCCCCATCCTCGTTTGTAGAAGATGCTTCCTCTTTATCATAGAGGAGCCACCTCCTTTGAGCTATCTCCTGGCATAAAAGGGTCACATTAGACTCTTCCCGTTCAAGTAGGGAGAAACAGTCTCCTGTCCTCAGGGTCTTGCAAGCATTTCTCTAAAAAATAGAGGTGTGGGAACATGCCGAGTAGCAGAATACTTGAACAGGGCGAGTGAGGGAAGGAAGGAAAGGCAAGTGGGTGACTGAGGGGGTTCTCAGAAGGTGTGCAAGAGGGAGAGGGCGGAGGATGGGAAAGGAAGCAGGCAGACAGATGGCTTTCCATGTGAGGTCAGATGTGTTGTCCTCTTGCCTACTTAGGGGGCCTGGCGGCTGTGATTTACACGGACACCTTGCAGACAGGGATCATGCTGGTGGGATCTTTTATTCTGACTGGGTTTGGTAAGTGGGGTCAGGGCGGGCTGTGGAGGTGGGAGCGTAAGTAGAGGGCCTGTGCCCCAGGAGGAGAAAAGCAAGGCTGGTCTCTTTACCTGCCAGGAGTCAGGCCGTGAGCTTGGGTGCGCTCTGCCCTCCCAAGGGGAGTGGTCCAGCCCAGATTGGCCATCACTGGGGTGTGCAGGGGCAGCTTCCTCACCCCTGGAGGACTCAGGTTGGGGCTGGCCCAGAGAACACCTGGATTCCCTGACACCCGCCCTTGACGGTCTGGGCCAGTGGTCCCCAGTGTGGGCCTGTGATAACATGGTCTTCTGTCTGCAGAGAAACTGGACAAAAAAAACAAAAAAAAAAAGAGATAAGGCTAAATATCCATCAAACTAAATCTATTCAAATGTTACATCTTCAATCTTAGATTATGTCCTGTCTACATTTTGATATTAAACGTCCTTTCTTTTATGAATTGTTGACAGTAGGTGGTAATTTTCCTTTTAATGTCCTCATCTGACAAAATTAAAAACTTGGCTACTCAACGTTGGCTCTTCCAATTTTTTGAAATTTTGCTTGTCTGTGAAATCCTAGATCGGAACCCTAGATCTAGGGGTACTTGTTATGGGAGGATGTAAAGTGCATCTTATTTTGGGGTGCACAAGGCCCTCTGTGTGTCCTGTAAAGACTCCTTTCTGCTCTCTACTCTTCTGTTTCCCAAGAACTTTCATCTGGTTTTTCCCAGCAGGCCCTGGGGGTCAGCAAGGCAGGGACTAGAGTGACTTAGTGGAGGACACACAGTTGGGAGGTGGCAGAGTTCCAGATTTTTCACCCATTTTCTGTCCATCTCGCCACACTGCTGGAACCAGGGGTGGTAGGTCTGTGTCCAGGGTCCCAAAGGCCACTGTGTGTGTCTAGGTTTGCCTGTCTCTAGGTTTGGGTCTGGAGTTCCAAAGACCGTGGTTGACTGCAAGGGGTGAGGGAAAAAAACAGTCTTCCCAAATGGTGCAAAACTGAGGTCTTTCTTTTAAGAATTAAAATATCTTCCCTTTTGTAAAGAAGTTTATGGTTAGAGCACTTTTACAAGTTATTGCTTTGGGTCCTCACATTAGCCCCTGAGGGGTTAATAATCCCATTGTACAGATGAGACAGCTGAGGCCCAGAATGAGAAAGCGACTTGCCCCAGACCACACAGGGAGGTCTCTGGCTGTTGGCTGGGCCCTCTCCGTTTCTCAGGCATCCACAGAAAGAAACTTCTGTTAATATAAAGTGTTGAGAGTTTCAGAATGGTTGTTTTTGTACCAATGTTTTCCAGCTTTTCACGAAGTGGGGGGGTATGATGGCTTCATGGAAAAATACATGAAAGCCATTCCGACCTTGATTTCTGATGGCAACGTCACCGTCAAGGAAGAATGCTACACCCCGAGGGCCGACTCCTTCCACATCTTCCGAGATCCCATCACAGGAGACATCCCGTGGCCTGGGCTCATCTTTGGGCTGTCCATCCTTGCCCTGTGGTACTGGTGCACGGATCAGGTACCCAAGCTGGGTATGCAGGGTGGGCAGGGTCTTCCCCAGGGCACGACAGGAACTCCCGTCTCTCTGTGGCTTGTGGGGTTAGGAAAGGGAGGGGGAGGCTCACGTGGTCTGTGAGTGGCCGAGCCCTAGGGACACGGGAGTGCCAGGCCAAGGACCCAGGATGGAGAAGCTGGGGTAGCAGGAGGGTGTCACGGGGCGTCTGGCCTGCACCCCTTCCTCACTGGGCTTTTCCTGACAGGTCATTGTGCAGCGCTGCCTCTCGGCCAAGAACATGTCTCACGTGAAGGCCGGCTGCACCCTGTGTGGGTATCTGAAGCTGCTGCCCATGTTCCTCATGGTGATGCCGGGAATGATCAGCCGCATCCTGTACACAGGTAGTGGCTTCTGCTGGACTCACAGGCCACCCTCCCTTTCTCTGGCTTCGGTTACTCCTAAAGTTCTGTATTCTTGCTTTGCTTACCAAGTCTGATTGCTCCCTTGCGAAACAGCGAGCAAACTGAAGGCACAAAACTTTCGGACTTATCTTCCCTGGTTTCTTCCACTGGCAGTTGTTTTGCCCTTTTGCCCCCAAATCTTCCAAAGTCATGACATGCCTCCAGGCCACTTCTTCCTACTAATTTTTGCTTGACTGTTGCTGAATCTCGTGCCCCCTCCCTTTTCACCCTGAGCATTTCTTTGTTTCCTTTCCTCCCCTGTCCAGGAACTGTCTTTCCCCATTTCTCAGAGCTTGGGGGTATGACAGGCCCAACAGGGCAGGGGCAGGTGTGGGAGGTGTCAGCGGAGAGCTGCACTCTTTGAGGAACCATTTCAGGGCATTGGGCAGCAATGTCCTTTTTGAAGCCTTGTTTTCGGAAGGTGAATTTTGGAAATATTTTCCTAATGTCTGCTTGTTGACATGGCTCTTCATCTCTCCCCAGAAAAAATTGCCTGCGTCCTCCCCTCGGAATGCGAGAAACACTGCGGCACCAGGGTTGGCTGCACCAACATTGCCTACCCAACTTTGGTGGTGGAGCTCATGCCTAATGGTGAGAATCTTTCTTGGGAGGCCAGTTGGGTTTAGGCACCACCTAGATTTCTGTGGGCTTTCTGGGACAAAGCCATTTCTGAGCCTGGGGGCGGTGAGGGAGTCAGTAGGGGAAACTTCATTGCAGGGGTTCTCAGTTTTTGAACATGCCTTCCCTCAGTGGCAAGGAGACATATGGCTTAGTCAGGCTCTATGAGTTCTGCCACTTGCCTGTCAGTCAGTCTTGGAAAGGAGATCATCTTGTTAGGGAAAAACATGACTTTTCCATGCTCATCTAGAAGGTCTTTCAAATCTTTTCAACAGAGGGAGTGCAGATTAGTACAGCCATTATGGAAAATGGAGTCTGGAGGTTCCTCAAAAAATTAAAAATAGAGCTACCATATGATCCAGCAATCCCACTGCAGGGTGTCTCTCCAAAGGAAAGGAAATCGATATGTCGAACAGATAGATTATCTGCACTTCCATGTTCTTCGCAGCACAATTCACAACAGCCAAGATACGGAGTCAGCCTAAGTGCCTATGAATGGATGGATGGATAAAGAAAATGTAGTATACAGTGGAATTCTATTGAATTCTATGGAATTCTATTTAGCCTCCAAAAGAGGGAAATCCTGTCATTTGTGACAACATGAATAAACCTGGAGAACATTATGTTAAGTGAAATGATCTGGACTCAGACAAATACTGCATGTTCTCACTTACATGTAGGATCTAAAAATGTCATAGAACTCATAGAAGCAGAGATTAGAATGGTGGTTACTAGGAGCTGGGGTGGTGGATGGTTTGGGGAGATCTTGGTCAAGGGATACAAAATTTCAGTTAGATAGGAGGAATAAATTCAAGAGATCTGTTGTACAACAAGGTGACTATAGTTAATAACAATGTATTGTAGACTTGAAAATTGCCAAGGGAGTAGATTTTAAGTGTTCTCACCACAAAAAATGATAAGCATGTGAGGCAGTGCATTTGCTAATTAGCTCAATTTAGCTACTCCACAATGGAGACATATTTCAAAACGTCACGTTGTACAGGACAGACATATACAATTTTTGTTTGCCAATTGAAAATATATTTAAAAAAGCTCTCCAACAGATATTAACGTGAGGTCTTGAACTAAGGATGGAGTTTTACTTGGAGAATGAATTGACTTCTAGGCTGTTCCAAGGAGGAAAAAGCAAGATTTTAGCTCAGAATGAGGAAGTTTGAGGCAGTAGACAGATGGGATTCAAGGAGAGTTCTCACTGTAAAGAATATGGTATCCAGCCGGGCATGGTGATGCACCCTTATAATCCCAGCTGCTCGGGAGGCTGAGGCAGGAGGATCGCTTGATCCCAGGAGTTCGAATCCATCTGGAATAGCGAGAGATTTGGGATTGACCATGTTCTTCTTGTTTCACGTTGAAGAAAAATCTAATTCTGACGCAAGGGGTGCAAATCTTGTTAGGTTAGGAAATCTCAGGAGACTCAAAGTTATTAGCCAGGAAGACTTAAAATAAACTTATAAAATTTTATTACTGTAAAGAAACGTAGAGACCATCCAAACTCCTTCATTTTTACAGTTAGGGAAACTGAGGCCTCCAGAGCAGAAGTGCTTTGTTCAAGGTCATGCAGCAACTTGGTGTCTGCCATCTGGTTTGCTTAACTCTGCTCAAGGCTGGAATTGAGGAATTTGGGAGGGGCCTTTTTTTTTTTTTAAACCACATGCATGATCTTGGGCAAACCATTTGCATTCAAATTATATAAAAATGGGAGTAATAGTTAACTATTCCACTGAGCCAGGCTGCTTATTAATTAAGGTTACAATTAGCAAAGGTCACAACGGCTCTTCTGGAGTTCTGGCTTGGATGGCACTGGCCTCTGTGGGGGTGTTTATGTTATTTCTTTAGACTGGCAGACCTCCCCACCCCAAGTGAGGACCATAGTTCTGAGCACTATGCTAGAGGGGACTGTGCACAGCAGAAAGACGTGTGGCATGCAGAACAGCATAATTCTCTGCTTACACGTGCTGTTGCCGTTCCCTCCCTTTTAGCTACAGTCCGGATTCCATAAATACTGAATTCCTTAATGACCTCCCTGTGCTGGATCAAGCAGATATTTTTCATTCTTCACTTTATGCGACCTCTCAGGAGCGTTCAGCATTACTGATCACCCATCCTTCTTGAGTTATTCTCTTCCCTGGGACTCCATAACACTATATATATTCTCCTGTTTGTCCTTTTTTTCCCCTCCACCCTCTTCATTTCTTCCTTTTTGTCCTATTTGCAGATTCAGCCTCCTCTACTCAGCCAGAAAGTGTTCCTCCACCAATCCACATCAAATTGTGTCCCTTTCGTTTCCTAAATATCTCTTACATTAATCTACCTCTCTCTATTTTTACTGCTGTTGACCTAGTCTGATACACCATTATTTCTTGCCTGAACTGCTGTAAAATTATGTTCAATAAATATTTCTTGAGTGAATAAATGAATGAGGGTTTGATAAGAGTGTAGAACAGAGGGGAGAATTCTATTCCAGTTTACCCATTTCAGGGTGAAGCAACCCGGAGCAAATGGTACAGCTAGGCCTGGAAGCCCGACCTACTTACTACTTGCAATGGACCTTTGTTCTATCAACTGAAACACTGAGGATGTTAGACTAGATGATCTTTATATGAGGTCATCAAATACGAAATGTCTGACTTTTAATAAAAAGTTTAGTTTATTATATCTCAAACAAGAAGCAGTGCAATTAATCAAAGTATGCTCTTAAACTATTGACACAGTTTTGCCATCTTGACCGCAGCTTGTTTATGTCAGCAGCGAAGAAGCCTGGAGAGCGAGTGGCGATGAAATTGCAAAAGGTGTTTTCCAAGGCTTGTTAAGAATTGAATATTTTTCCTTGCAAGAAGTGGTCTAAAGTCTGAAAGAAGTGGTAGTTAGTTGGTGCAAGGTCTGGTGAATACGGTGGATAACAGAGAGTTTCCAAGTCCAGCTTCTGTAGTTCGAGCAGCATTATTTTTTGCAACATGCGGTCTTGCAAGAGGCTTGGCCTGTCTCTATTGACCAATCTTGGCTGCTTAATCACAGGCATCCTCATCATTTCATCCAATTGGTTGCAGTAGACATCCACTGTAATTGATTGACCAGGTTTCATGAAGCCATAGTGGATAATACCAGCACTGGACCACCAAACAAACACCATTAGCTTTTTTTTTTGGATGAATATTCGGTTTTGGACTGTGTTTCGGCATTTCATCTTTATCCAACCATTGTGCTGAATGCTTGTGATTGTCAAAAAGAATCCATTTCTCATCACACACCACAATACGGTATAGAAATGGTTCATCTTTATGTTGTGACAGCAAAGAAAGGCAATCTTCGAGACAATTTTTCTTCTGATGCTTTTAATTCATGTGGAATCCATCTATCCAGCTTCTTTACCTTGCTGATTTGTTTCAAATGGTCCAACATTGTTGGGATAATAACGTCAAACCTTGCTGCTAACTCACGCATAGGTTGAGATGGATTCGCTTCCACTACAGCTTTCTTCAGCTCATCATTATCCACCTTGATCTCAGATCTCCCATGTGGCTCATTTTCAAGATTAAACTCACCAGAATGGAACTTCTCAAACCATTGACATGCTGTGTGTTCATTAGCCACATCCTTCCCAAACACTTTTCAACAAAGTTGAGATATTTCGAGCTGTCTGTGCTGCACTGGTTCCATGACATATTAGAAAACAACATGCATTTTTGACTTACCCATGGTTTCACAAAAATTGCTCTAAAAAAAATCTGAAAGATAATCACAAACCAAACCATGTGTTTGAAAGAATGAGGATATGCCTTCACAGTAAAAATAAAACAAGAAGTGTCAAAGTAAAATATCAGAGATAGCAACTGTCAAACTTAGTACTTAAGGAAATCGGACATTTCATACTTAATAACTGAATAGCCTGTGATCTACGTTATACAAACTCAAGAGGAACCATTTAAAAAAACTTCCCAAAAAATGACATAATAACTGGAATAGACAGCCTTTATCATTCATCTTGAAAGGTGATAGTCTTCTGAGACCATACCATTATTTACTGATATAAAACCTAGAGGAATGACAGATTCATGTTCCAAAAAAGATCTTGAGTGGTGCGAATGTTGACTCAAATCTAACAAACTGAAGTTTGATAGAGATATAAGTCGAGTTCTATATATTTGGGTCCCCCAAATGCAATTTTATAGGAATATTGAAAGAAATGGAGGGTATTTAGCTTAGAGAAGAGAGAGTTCAAGGGGGCATGAGTCGTCTTTGAAAATATGAAAGATGGTGAAGTGGATGAAGAGTAGGACCTGTTGGGTTGGGCAGCATGAAGACTGTATCTGAAGCTACAGAGAGGCAGATTTCAGGTTGGTGGTGACTGTCCAAGAGGCAGCAGACTCCCTGGGGGTGAGTATATTTCCACTCGCTGGAGGGTTTGGGCAGAGGAAGTGTTGTGAAGGGATTCATGTATCAGATGGATGATGGGTCTAGGGGATCCTAAGGTTGCTTTTGCTTCAGAGACTGTAAATCTATGCTCTTAATGGCAGGCCCTCAGCTTGGCCTGGCCTTCCAGCTTCAGCAGTTGCAACCTTGTGCACTCCTTGGCATGCAAAAATAATGGAGATTATAGCCACCCCTGCTTGCCATGATGGGGAAAACTTTAAAAACAACAATCCCTTATTCTGATTTTGGCAGGTCTAGTATTATCCCCGCTTAACACATCAAGAAATGAGACCATTACTTGCTTAGGGTCAGAGTTGGAAATAGAGCCTTGCCCTTTTTTTTTTTTTTTAAATAGCTGTATTTATTTTTTATTTTTTTCCATTTATGGCTACAACTGAGAGTCCTTGAAGAGTTAAGTGAGCTTTTGACTTGAACTTTACACTTTCAGAAAAACAAAACAAAACAAAATACTTTTGTGCCCTTATGAATTTCAACTACAGAAGTTAAGCTTTATGAAGAAAAACGTTATTTTCTTTTTTCCTGTGTTTTTGTCCTTTAAACAATAAATGAAGCAGACAAGGAATATGGACACGTCTACATGTTAAAATCTTTTGCTTCAAAAACAGCCAAGTAAATATTCACATTTGAATACTAAAAAACGATTAGCTACCTTTCAATATAACACTTCTCAAAAAGTGTATCCTAATTTAAAAGAGCATTATTTAAAAAAAAACAACAGAAAGGAAAAAAATAACTTTATTGAGCTATAATTCACACACCAGACAATTCATCCATTTAAGGTATATAATCCAATGGTTTCTAGTATATTCACAGAGTTGTGCAACCATCATCACAATCAATTTTAGAAAATTTTCATAACCCCCTAAAGAAATCCTGTGCCTGCTAAAGAAATTAGCAGCCACTTCCTATTTCACCCCAGTGCCCAGCCCCAGGAAACTGATAATCTACTTTCTGTCTCTATAGATTTGCCTATACCGGACATTTACTAGAAATAGAATCATATAGTATTTGTTCTTTGTGACTGGCTTCTTTCACTTAGCAAAATGTTTTCAAGGTTCATCTGTGCTACAGCACATACTTGTATTTCATTCCTTTTCATTGCTGAATAATATTCCACGACATGTTTACTCATTTATTGGTTGTTTATCCATTTTATTTATCCATTTATTAGTTGGTGAACATTTGCATTGTTTCTACTTTTTGGCTATTATTATAAATATTGCTGCTATGGACACTCACGTTTGAGTTTTTGTGTGAACATATGTTTTCATTCCTCTTAGGTAGATACCTAGGAGTAGAATTGATGGGTCATGTGCTAACTCTATGTTTAACTATTTGAAGAAATGCCAGACTGTGTTCCATAGAGGCTGTATCATTTTACATTCCTTCCAGCAAAGTGTGAGGGTTCCTATTTCTGCACATCTCTGCTCACAGCTGATATTATCTGTATTTTATTTTGTTTTATTTATTTTTTTTTTTTAATTTCAGCA